TCGTTAATTAATGGTTGTTAAATTTTAGATTATTCGATAGAGAATGAGATTCTCCTGCAGTGAACTCCTTCATATACACTGCAACATTGTGGTGTATCTGAACGGAGGAATCGTAAACTATTAGATATAGTTCAATTAATAATGAGCCATGCAAATCCCTCAAAGTCGTTTTGGGGTCATGCACTGATTGCAGTGTGCTACACATTAAATCATATCCCACCTAAGATGGTTAACAGAACTCCATACGAGTTATGGAAAGACAATAGTCCCAATTTATCTCATATGAAAATTTGGGACTATGACGCTTATTTGAAACGCAATGAATCGGATAAGCTTGAGTACATATCTGTGGGATATCCAAAACAAATATATGGATATCAATTATATTATCCCATTAAGAAGAAAGTCTTCGTCTCATAACATATCATCCTCTTAGAGAAAATGTTTACTTTAGGAGAGGACAATGAAAGCAAAATAAAACTCGAAAGAGTTCATGAGTCTATAGATATAGTTAAGCAAGTAGATGAATTCAAGTTTGATCACATATCTGATGAGGCATGCTCTTGTCAGGAAGTAGAAACTCTTGAAAATATATCAACTCTATATGAATCTAGTAGGATCATTCAACCTTCAAGAAGGTGCGAATCCATGATTACAAATTAGGCATTGCTGATCTAGGATGATGAACCTACTAATTGCACAAAAATAAAGTCAAATGTTGACTTAAAAGAGATAGCAAGAGGCTATGAAACTCGAGATGAATTCGACATATGTGAACAAGGTTTGGACCTTGGTCGACCCTTTTGATGAGATAAAACCCATAGGTTGTAAATGATTTACAATAAAAGGTTGACATGGATGGGAATATCTATACATACAAAACAATGCTAGTAGTAAAAGGTAACAAATAAAGATAATGCGTTAACTTCGATGAAACATTTCGCCTGTAACCATGCTGATGTCCATTCGGATTTTGGTTGCAATAATTGAATACCATGACAATGAGTTAAAGCAAGCCTTTTGGAGCTGAAATCTTCAGTTTGATGGAAAAATCAAAAGGTTTGATTTCATTAAATATGAAGACGAATTTTGTGTTTACAAGAAGATAGTGGGAACATTGTCGCATTCTTAATATTATATGTAAGACATTATTAATAGGAAACGACATCCCTAAGTTTCAATCGTTGAACTAATGGTTGTTAAATGATTTATTCATGAACGATATGCGAAAGCAACTTGATCTATAGAGATAGATTTAGAAGATTGCTTAACTCATCCCAATCTATATAGATAAAATATTGAGAAGATTTTATATAGAGAAATTGGTTTACTCTTAAACGGTGTGTTGGAAAGGTTCCAAACATGAAACAATCGTTGATTCAATAACAAAAATCTAATTTTTGATTGCTTAAGAAGCAGCAAAGAGTTGCAATATGGATCAGGATGTTCATTAATAAACTTGAAGTAGTTCCTAATATTGTTGATCACATGTCATTGTATTATGATAACAATAGAGTCATCACGAAAGTGAAGGAACTAAAGCTTTATCAATGATCCGAACATGTATTAAGGCCGTATAATCTCATCAGAGAGATAATACATAGAAATGACGTAAAGAGAATAAGAAATTCCCACATTTGACAATATTGCAGATTCACTAACAAAAAGTTGTCGCGGTATAAATATGATTATCATGTAGACTCTTATGATATTTGATACATAAGTGATTGGATCTAGTGCAAGTAGGAGTTTGTAAGTGTTATGTCTTAGGTCCAGTCAACCTTGGACATAAATACTTTTAATATATAATTAATGTAATTTCATGGCAGATATATTATTTAAATAATAGACAATTAAATTAAATAATAGAGTCCGTAGATTCAAATCTTCATAATTTGTTAATCACAAAGAGTTGTGATTGTTAGATATAAATTACATATGATTAAATCTTAAATAGTCCGTGGTCGTAAGTAATAATGAGATACATATATAGTTATTACAAATAGACCATCACCTGTGGCATTTTTTACTTGTGAAGTGAGTGGCTAATCTCACAAGTTAAAGTGTGGTGACATTTGAATGAACACGTGGATGTTATGTTATATAATAAGACATTGGAGATCCGCCTAGAGATTCCGAGATCTCCTAGAGATTCCACATGGATAACTATTTGAGTGTCAGTGGTTAATCTCTAATGTTCGGTAGTGGTATTGGTCCTTTGATTTGAGGTCGTCATAGTATCTTATATGAGGACAGTTATGTTTTGACGGCGTTGGATGTTGCTCTGCCAAGGGCCACTAATACGATATCGTTCGGGTATGTCAAGAATCGTATGAAGGTTGTGAATGACCAATGGAAGATTCATCACTCTTAGATAGTAAGAGATTATGATCTGCATTTCATTCAATTAAGTACATACCGAAATTCTTGGCCAAGGTGTACTTAGAAGTCGAAAAGGAGTTTTCGACTTATATTGACTTAATAGTGGAGTGAAATATATGATCGATAATCGAGATTGACACACTTCTATATTTCGTAATTGATCGGATCATATGGACGAAGGAATTATAGTTTCATGGTAAACGAACGAGTTTGCTTTTGCCATACCACGTGACATTTCCTGTCACATATATTGCCCTGACACATTGCTAGATATCAATCTGGGACGACAAGTGTGAATGTGTGATAAATTAAAAGAGTGTTTTAATTTATCAATTTTGATTAGATCAAAATAATATTTCACGTCGTTAGGCACCGTGATTGGGAGCTTGATGGGTCGCACACAAAAAGAGAACTAGAAGACTGTGATTTGTCAATTAATTAATTTAACAAGTATTGGATAAATTAATTAATCGGATTGCTTATTTATAGGCCTGATTAAATTAATTGAATTAATTAATTAAATGAGTTAATTAAATATTGGATAGGGTTAAGCCAAACCCATTAGTGCTTATATATAAATATGACTAAGGTTTTCAAAATCTGTAGAGAATTCATTATTCTTGTTAGCATAAAAAGAAAATCATAAATCCTACAATCTTGTTCTCTGTGTGAATCACCGTTGGAGACTGGACTATTGAACAACTGTGGAATGATAGATCCAAGTTCCTGAAACAAAGATAATGTAAAGAAGTTTGCAGATATAAGAAAGTGTACAAATTTTATCATAATTTCTATTTAAACACAAAGAGATCCGTGGTGAGAATCGAAAATTGTTTTAATTTTCCGCTGCGCATGTTAAGTATATTCCCAATACTTTTCTCTCCATCTTTCAATATCCGAAGATTTCAAAAGTGAATCTGGATAGGGGCACCCAACTTTCGATTTGATTGTGACTATGATTCATCATTATGAACAAGCATGTGTGATAAGAAGCTGAGAAGAATTTAAAGAAGGGAAAAAACAGGAAATGTATATTAGTGACAGCATTTAACTCATATATTTTATTCGACTTAGTTTTCAGAATACACAGGCTCTAGGAAACAATGTTAGCCCACATCAATAAAGACTATCCTTGCAAGAAGTACTAGAACCGAGGTAAGGCTAGCAGAACCAGATCATTCCTAATCTATGTCGGCGTTGCATTATCAGACAGAAGTAACTCAAAAAAACATTGTTAAAATGTCAAATCCGAAAAACTTCTTGACCATTTGGTTCCATCCATGAATTATTCTAATCGGTATACGGTCCTTATTTGGATAGTGCTATACGGTCCTGACCATACAATACACAAAGAAAACAGTATCTCACCATCTCCTCTGCTTCTGCATCCTCTAGGGGATTAACAAAATTGCTAGTCATTTCAGCAGTTGATTAACCATATGATTCTGAGAATGGTTAGATAATATATACTGATTGCAGTGATTTAGGCGCCAATTCATTATCAGATATGAGGTATCATAATCAGGATGCCGATAGTTCAATGAAAATGACATTTGACATGACTAGATTGTTTGATTGACAAATGGCCAGACAATTACGAGCAACATTTACAAACTAGAAAAGTTGAACATACTTTTTCATTTTTATTGTGTGGGTGAGGGGAACCCAAATAGTATATACGACATAGTGAATCAGATCGTCAAAAAATTGTCCGCAGCAAGACTAGTTAGGAACAGTGATGTGATTCTTCAGAAAGAAAGCGGAAGTGTATCAAGATGTATCTCTGAGACAAGCTATCACATGAGAAGATTTTGCCAAATTGAAGATAAGATGCATTCTTGGTGAGATTTTTTTAGGATATGTACATGTACATTGTTAAAATCATAAAAGGCCTGTTCGATAGTGATTATGAGAATTGATATTTTGATCGTTAGAGAGAAAAATGGGTCTTACCTATGAGTGAAGAAGTCAAAAATAATTGTTGAACTAGTAAAATAACAGTAAAAAAATTAATTTTGTTTGGATGAAAATTGCAACCAAACAGGGGCAAAATATTAGTTATGGAATCTTACAATTCGCCAATTTCCATGACTTGCTTGATATTCTGCGAATAGTTCCAATGCTATACATTATATAATCATTGTAGTAGTTCGCAGTCCTATGAATAGGCATAAAATAGAATACAATATTAATTTACTTAATTCTCTCCCATTCCTTTAAACACGTGAATAGATGAATACCCATGACTTCGGCTCCTCCATATTTTTGCAGATGCCCAGAATAAACACAAGAAAGCCTGAGTAATTCCAGTAGAGAATGCAGCAGAGGAGAGGGGGTGCGGGGGGGGAAATGCAAATGAAGAGGGGGGGGGGGGAGGGGGGGGGGGGGGGGGGGGGGGGCTGAAGGCCCACAAAATGTGAAAATTCAAAGATTCAAGTCATTTCTTGAAATTAAATTGCGTAGATGTCTGGAAGATACATGAATTTGACCTCACACACAACGTAAATTTACTCTCAGATATATGGTAGACCAGTAATAGCAGAATCTTAAACCACCTTCGGTGATAGGGAAAATTTTATTATGACAATTGTTCAATATGATATTAAACAACCACAACACTAAATCTTCGATCGTTTAGCGATCTTGAACCACTCAGTATGGAAGGAGCCAGGCATATCAGTCCTCTCATACGTATGAGCACCAAAGTAATCCCTTTGAGCTTGGACCAAATTAGCAGGTAGTCTTTCCCTCCTGTATGTGTCAAAATAAGCAAGGCTTGAAGACATACCAGGGGTGCTGATGCCTGATTTAATAGCAAGACAGACAACTCTTCGCCAAGCCGACTGTCGATCAATTACCTCCTTTGCAAACTCTGGATCCACAAGCAAATTTGCAAGCTCAGG